CGCTTGCCTTGCATGCATGAGGCCCTGGGTTCGATTCCTCAGCACCATATAAGCAAAAAGAAAAAAGCCGGAAGTGGTGCTGTGGCTCATACTAGCCTTGAGCTGAAGAGCTGAGGGACAGTGCTCAGGCCCAGAGTTCAGGCCCCACAACCGGACCAAAAAAAAAAAAAAGTGTGGCTCATGGGCTGGGAATGTGGTTTAGTGGTAGAGTGCTTGCTTAGCCCTGGGTTCGATTCCTCAGTACCACATAAACAGAAAAAGCCAAAAGTGATGTTATGGCTCAAGTGGTAGAGTGCTAGCCTTGAGCAAAAGAAGCTTGGGGACAGTGCCCAGGCCCTGAGTTCAAGCCCCAGGACCAGCAAAAAAGAAAAAGAAAAAGTGTGGCTCTTCAAAAATGAAAATGTGAATGTGTGGCTTGTGTTACATTCCTTTTGGCAACACTGGTTGAAACTATTTTGAATAACCAGTATGTTTTTCCTGTCTTTTCACAATTTCATGTTACATTTATCATTTATTATGCCCAGGCAGGGGTTAGTTCCATCTGTTGGCTATTAGATATAATATTGGTCAATATTATCCATGAAGCTATTTGTAGACATGTTTTCCCTAGGAGGGATTCTGGATGGGAAGTGACAACAACTTCAAAGGTTCTCATCGTGGAGGGAGGAGCAAGTATGAGGCCACAGGAGTGTTCAGCACTGAGAAGCCCTTGGGACCGTTTCAGTCTCCAGTGACCTTCTATGGCACAAGGTCAATGACTCTCAGACTGAAAGGGTGGGCTGAAGTGAAGGTTGAAGGAAACTTGTGTGTGAGACATTTAATTCCTTGAGCTTAAACAGTTGGACAGATACCCACACACAATGAGGATAATGAGCTACAATCTCCATCCATCTCCCCACCCACCTTCCTGCCTGACATTTTCTACTATATAGGAAGGAGGACTGATGTGTGATGGTCACAGATAGAAAGCCAAGGACTTATGCACTGAAGAATCGAATGGCTTCTCCAGTCCCCTAGTTGAGTCCCACCATGCCTCCTCTCTCCAGAGGATCTCAGGGACAGATGCAGCTATCTCCACACCCACATCTACTTTGGGGACACTGTGGCCTGAAAACAGCTCTGTGAAAGGGACAGATCTGCTCAACTCCAAACTTGTGCCTTCTTTCTTGTCCTAAGACAGCATGTCTTTGGCAGATGGCCTTGCTCCCCGAGGGACTTCGCTCCAGACATCTGAAGGATGTAGGATACTCAACTTCATTGCTGTCTATTGGCAAGGGGGCCTGGTTTTCCCAGGGCAGAAGATAGTATCTTGGAGTCCAGCTGCAGGGGTTGTTATGGCCTCTGGATAGCTTTGTAGTGGCAGCCATTACAGAGGTCTCCTAGCCAAACCCAGTGATGTAGTAGATAAGGGGTCAGACACTATGTGTGGTTAAGCTACACTGGGTGGCTGGTCAATGAGCAGCTAGCTTGGATCTAGGAATCAGGGAGGCAGAGGCAGTACAACCCAAAAGCCAGGTGGAAGTTGGGAACTGGGGTGTTGGCTAGGGCACAGAGCTCTGTGGGAATGGAGGGTCACCGTGAGACAGCAACAGCTCTGGCTAGCCTGTGACCGCTACTTGGCAATTGTGAGGCAACCTCTCAGTAGGCTCCCTGTTTTACCATTTACCCCTCCACCCCATTTCCCACCTGGAATGACTCAAGAGATGCCTCGGAAGCTTTAGCCTCTGCTGGCCTCTCCTTGACTTCACCTGGCTCCCTTTCTTCTGCTCGCATGTCCTCTGACTTTATTCTTGCTCCTCTCCTCCCTGGAATGCTCTGTGACTCATCTGGACACCTCCTTCTCCTGGAGGTTCCCTGCACAACCCCCCTAGATGGTCTTTGCAGCTGATGGATTCAAAATATCACCTACCCTTTAGTCTCTAGCAGTGCACTGTGGTATATTTTGTCATTAACACTAATGGAATTGTCTAGTATACTTGTATCCTGTTTATGTACTTGTGTACTTTCTGTTGATTTTCCATTGGAAAATCAGTTCTATGTGGTAGGCCTGGCAGCTCTGACTTCTTTTTTTTTTGGGGGGGGGGGCCGGTCATAGGGCCTGAACTCTGGGCCTGGGCGCTGTCCCTCAGCTCTTCAGCTCAAGGCTAGCACTCTACCACTTGAGCCACAGCACCACTGCCAGCTTTTTTCTTTTTGCTTATGTGGTGCTGAGGAGTCAAACCCAGGGCCTCAGGCATGCAAGGCAAGCGCTCTACTACTGAGCCACCTTCCCAGCCCCATAAATAAGTTTTTAAAATGTAGTTGGAGCTGGGCACTGGTGACTTACTCCTATAATCCTAACTATACAGGAGGCTGAGATCTGAGGATTGCGGTTGGAAGCCAGCCCAGGCAGAAAAGTCCATGAGACTCTATATCTCCAATAAACTACTCAGAAAAAGCCAGAAGTGATGCTGTGGCTCAAGTGGTAGAGCGCTATCTTCAAGGCCGCCCTGTATCTAAATCCCTAGCACTGTGATATAATGAATGAATGAATGAAGTAAAAAAAAAAAAACATGGAAAGAGAGTGTATTTCACCATAATATGGCAGGTGTAACAAGCATTTGGTTTTAAGTAAGTGGTGACATGTTACTCTTAGCTCTGGCTTTCAGTCTAAATCCTTCAAGAGGCCCATAAGGAGCCACCTTTCTAGTCTTGTCCAGTTCCCATGAGTCACCTTCAGGTAGAGCCCTGGGAGAGAGAGTTGGCTTTTCAGGGGAGATGGCCTCCTCACGGAAAGCTGAGCAGGAAGGTAGGTGGAGGAGCCAGGACTCCAAAGAGTCCTTCCAGCACTGCCTCTGACTAGCACCCATCTCCTTCATTCAGGAGTCTTGTTTTAGAAGGTTATTGCTGTTTGGTTGTTAGGCTGCACCAATGGTCACCTTGAGGTCATAGGCCTCATAGCTGGAAGCTGACACATAGCCACATCTGGAATATAGTAGTGCTCTAATGCATGGAGCAGCTGCCCAATAGAATTGCACAGTGCTAGAGCTCTTCACTGCCCCTTTGAATGTGGTAACACCTGAAATGACAAGAACCTGAAGGTCAC